GTTCAGTTCTAGTTCAGTTCTAGTTCAGTTCTAGTTCAGTTCTAGTTCAGTTCTAGTTCAGTTCTAGTTCAGTTCTAGTTCAGTTCTAGTTCAGTTCTAGTAGTTCAGTTCTAGTTCAGTTCTAGTTCAGTTCTAGTTCAGTTCTAGTTCAGTTCTAGTTCAGTTCTAGTTCAGTTCTAGTTCAGTTCTAGTTCAGTTCTAGTTCAGTTCTAGTTCAGTTCTAGTTCAGTTCTAGTTCAGTTCTAGTTCAGTTCTAGTTCAGTTCTAGTTCAGTTCTAGTTCAGTTCTAGTTCAGTTCTAGTTCAGTTCTAGTTCAGTTCTAGTTCAGTTCTAGTTCAGTTCTAGTTCAGTTCTAGTTCAGTTCTAGTTCAGTTCCAGTTCAGTTCCAGTTCAGTTCTAGTTCAGTTCTAGTTCAGTTCTAGTTCAGTTCTAGTTCAGTTCTAGTTCAGTTCTAGTTCAGTGTAGTTCAGTTCTAGTCAGTTCTAGTTCAGTTCTAGTTCAGTTCTAGTTTCAGTTCTAGTTTCAGTCTAGTTCAGTTCTAGTCAGTTCTAGTTCAGTTCTAGTTCAGTTCTAGTTCAGTTCTAGTTCAGTTCTAGTTCAGTTCTAGTCAGTTCTAGTTCAGTTCTAGTTCAGTTCTAGTTCAGTTCTAGTTCAGTTCTAGTTCAGTTCTAGTTCAGTTCTAGTTCAGTTCTAGTTCAGTTCTAGTTCAGTTCTAGTTCAGTTCTAGTTCAGTTCTAGTTCAGTTCTAGTCAGTTCTAGTTCAGTTCTAGTTCAGTTCTAGTTCAGTTCTAGTTCAGTTCTAGTTCAGTTCTAGTTCAGTTCTAGTTCAGTTCTAGTTCAGTTTCTAGTTCAGTTCTAGTCAGTTCTAGTTCAGTTCTAGTTCAGTTCTAGTTTCAGTTCTAGTTCAGTTCTAGTTCAGTTCTAGTCAGTTTAGTTCAGTTCTAGTTCAGTTCTAGTTCAGTTCTAGTTCAGTTCTAGTTCAGTTCTAGTTCAGTTCTAGTTCAGTTCTAGTTCAGTTCTAGTTCAGTTCTAGTTCAGTTCTAGTTCAGTTCTAGTCAGTTCTAGTTCAGTTCTAGTTCAGTCTAGTTCAGTTCTAGTTCAGTTCTAGTTCAGTTCTAGTTCAGTTCTAGTTCAGTTCTAGTTCAGTTCTAGTTCAGTTCTAGTTCAGTTCTAGTTCAGTTCTAGTTCAGTTCTAGTTCAGTTCTATTTTAGTTCAGTGTCTAGTTCAGTTCTAGTTCAGTTCTAGTTCAGTTCTGTTCAGTTTCTAGTTCAGTTCTAGTTCAGTTCTAGTTCAGTTTTCTAGTTCAGTTCTCGTTTCAGTTCTAGGTCAGTTCTAGTTCAGTTCTAGTCGTTCTATCATTCAGTTCAGTTCTAACTCAGTTCTAGTTCTTTCTAGTACGTTCTAGTTCAGTTTCTAGTTCCAGTTCTAACTCAGTTCTAGTTCAGTTCTAGTACAGTTCGAGTTCAGTTTTAGTTTAGTTTAAATTCAGTTCTAGTTAAGTTTCTAGGTCAGTTCGGGAATATTTTGTAATTGAAACATTTCGATTAAACTTGTTGGACAAACCTCGCAATATCTATTTATACCCTACAACGCTATATTGGGGATTTGTCCTACACCCACCTTAAAGTATACCAATCAGCACAGAATCATTTTTTGAGTCGCTTTAGCTATGTCCGTCTGTCCGTCTGTCTGTACGTCCGTCCGTCTATCTGTCTGTCTGTCCGTCTGTGTGTCCATGTAACCTTGCGCGCACTCTACAGGTCGCAATTTTCAAGATAATATGATGGCTCATACTCTTATTTTGACCCAAGGATGAAGCCTATTGAAAATGGTTAAAACCAGTCCATTATTTTGTTTAGCCGCCGTACAACCGTACCCCCTGAATAGAGCTTTGGATGTCATAAATATGTTAAATGATCTTGTATCACTTAAAAAATAGGCAAAACTTAATTTTGTATGACTTTGTGGTCAAATGATATTCTGCATAAATAATCTAAGTAGTCGTAAGTCCTTCTACCAAAATCTATAAGGATAGAGCCATATTAATCCCCTGCCCCTATATAACCCCATTTTTATAAAATCCCTTTTTTTCAACAAATTGTTAAAATATTCCTAAATTAAAGTAAAAATTTAATTAATAACTATATTATTAAAAAAATAATCAAAATTTTTAACATAATCACTGGTGTAGGGTATCATATGGTCGGCCATACCCGACTATAAATTCTTGTTATACCCTCCACCACCATCAGTGGTGATAGAGGGTATATATAACTTTGTCATTCCGTGTGTAACACCAAGAAATATTCATCTGAGACCCAACAAAGTATATATATTCTGGGTCCTTATCAAATTCTGAGTCGATTTAGCTATGTCCGTCTGTCCGTCTGTCCGTCTGTCCGTCTGTCTGTGTAAAACACGCTCACGATAAAACGAAGCAATAGAGCTTAACCAAATTCACCCAAAATGTTCTTCATTTTCCTAAGTTGTTTGGTATTGCAAATGGGCAAAATCGGTTCACACCGGGAGAAGTTATGAATCAAAATTTAAAACAACCTCGGAAAAAAATAAGCATTTTTTACACATTCTGATGTAGTTTTCTCGAAAACTATGCAAGATAATTCCATGAAAATCACCATACATTCGTTCCTGCACAAGATCTAGATCCCTGCTGAAAATTGCCAGAATCGGTCCACAATTTCATATACCTCCCATACAAAAGTACATATTCCCGGAAAATGGGTTTTTTGTTAATAACTTCCGCCACAATGTCGATATCTTCACAAAATTTTACAAATTAAAATCTTATGTCAATAGAATTCTTTCAGAGGAAAAATTTTTTGGATCGGCCCATAATTGGACATAGCTCCCATACAAGGTCCCCTCCCGAAAATCACTTAAACGCGCATAACTCATTACTAAATTAAGATATCCAAATAAAATTTGGTATAGGTATTGCCCATATGCATAGAAATATAACTGAAGAAATATATCGGTCCATAATTGGTCATAGCTCCCATACAAGGTCCCCTCCCGAAAATCACTTAAACGCGCTTAACTCATAACTAAATTAAGATATCCATAAATAATTTGGTACAAATATTACTCATATGCACAGAAATATTGTTGTGAAATTTTTTTCCGATCGGTCCATAATTGATCATAGCTCCCATACAAGGTCCCCTCCCGAAAATCACTTAAACGCGCATAACTCAGTACTAAATTAAGATATCCATATAAAATTTGGTACAAGTATTGCCCATATGCATAGAAATATTACTGTGAAATTTTTTTCCGATCGGTCCATAATTGGTCATAGCTCCCATACAAGGTCCCCTCCCGAAAATCACTTAAACGCGCTTAACTCATAACTAAATTAAGATGTCCATATAAAATTTGGTATAAGTATTGCCCATATGCATAGAAATATTACTGTGAAATTTTTTTCCGATCGGTCCATAATTGGTCATAGCTCCCATACAATGTCCCCTCCCGAAAATCACTTAAACGCGCTTAACTCATTACTAAATTCAGATATCCATATAAAATTTGGTACAAATATTACTCATATGCACAGAAATTTTGTTGTGAAATTTTTTTCCGATCGGTCCCCTCCCGAAAATCACTTAAACGCGCATAACTCATTACTAAATTCAGATATCCATATCAATATAAAATTTGGCACAAGTATTACTCATATGCACAGAAATATTACTGTGAAAATTTTTTTCGATCGGTCCATAATTGGTCATAGCTCCCATACAAGGTCCCCTCCCGAAAATCACTTAAACGCGCATAACTCATTACGTAATTAAGATACCCATATGGTACAAATATTACTCATATGCACAGAAATATTACAGATAATTTTTTTCCGATCGGTCCATAACTCGTCATAGCTCCCATACAAGGTCCCCTCCCGAAAATCACTTAAACGCACATAACTCATTACTAAATTAAGATATCCATATAAAGTTTGACAAAAATATTGCTCATATACAGAGAAATATTACTGTGAAATTGTTTTCCTATCGATCCATAATTGATCATAGCTCCCATACAAGGTCCCTTTCAGAAAAACACTTAAAGGCACATAACTCATTACCAAATAATGATATAAATAAATACTATTTTTGTTCATAAATACTATTTTGTAATGCAAAAAGCACTTAATGCTATTTCCAAAAATTTTCACGATCGGTCTATGTTTGGTCATATCTCTCATACTAGGTCCTGCCCCTAAAAGCGCTTTAACCGTATTTAACTATTTGCATTATCAATTTGTGTAGAACAAAATTATATATATGTATGTATTTTTAAAATCCTTAAATCTTTCACACACATGCATACATGCAAATACGAGATATCGCTAAAGCACATCTTAGGGCTCTATTTAAAATTTAAATGAAAGTGGCGTTTCTAATGTTCAATAAATCTTGGAATTGTAGTAGATTTAGGCTGTTTAAATCTTGGGATTTTCCTATTTAAGACATGAGAAAACTTTTTTCTACAAATATTTTATTAATTAGAAATGTATTAATACAAAAGTTGCTGGTGGAGGGTATTTAGGATTCGGCTCAGCCGAATATAGCACTCTAACTTGTTTTATCATATGTTTGTGTATCTTCTGTTAAAGACTTCACAAAATATGGATGCTCTTGCCGCTTTTCACTAGATGACACCTTCGTTTTCTTAAAAATTTTATTTTCCTTAATGTTTATAATTTCGCTTAATGTATGTTTATAAACATTTATAAACAATGTGATTTTAATACTGTAAACAAAATAATAAAAAAACAAAAGGCAACAAAAAAATATATAAAATTATATACTAAACTGACACAATAATTTAAACATTGCACAACAGTACATAATTATAACTCGTTCAATTTATTCTAGGCCCGCGTTGTTATCAGTAATACTCACTTCTACAAGTGAGTACTGCGGACAGAACAAATATTTTTACTCAAATTCAGTCGTATTTATATGTGGAATACACGCATCTGGCTGGATTTTATTTAGTTTAATATAATAGCGCGCTTTGTTAGGTTTTATATATTTATACGAGTCTTTTCCCAACAACAAATTATTCATTTGCTGGCAGTATTAGTATTTATTTGCCCTAGTGATCCTAAATAAACGCGACTCTTAAACTATCACTTTAGTTATATTTAACTAAAATTTGTAAAAAATTTATAACAGTTTGTAAAAGAAACTTAGATTTGCAAGTAATGTTGCTGAAAATTTAACAACAAATTTCATAAATAATAATAAAATAAAAAAAATTCTAAAAAGGGAAAATATTCATTAACACATTGTACTGCAAAAAATTAATAGTGTTTATATTGATATGAAAAAAAATCTATATAATTACAAAAATATAAGCAATTCATGTGTAGAATATGGATTTTTTTTTTTAAATAGAAAAAAATTTTACTTTAAATGAAAACAGTCGATTTTTAGCCGGTTTACCATAAAGTTGTGTTTATGTTAGAAATGAAAATTTACCAAAAATAAATATAAACAGTGAATATAAATTTTGAAAAAATAAATAAACAAAAAAATTATTCTTATGAAATATAAAAATATATAAACTGTTGGAAACATTTTATTTACAATTATATATTTTATTACTTTTATCAAAAGCAATTTCTTAAGAAAAATTTTATCAAAATGGAAATGAACGTAGGTGTTTTGGATTTATTCAAGTTATTGGGCAAGTAAGTCAATAATGTGTGAAATTAAATATTATTTGTAAATTATTGAATTTTCTCTATAATTTCGTTATATAGAGACTATGTATAATAAACGAACTGTTCTTGTAAATCATGAAACAAATATTTAAAATTTTAAAATAATTAAAGTCCTGCTCTGGACTATACCCATCTTAAAGTATACTTATAGCTTAAAATAATTTTCTGAGTCGATTTAGCTATGTCCGCCCGTCAGTCCGTCTGCCTGTCTGTATGTCTGTCTGTCTGTCTGTCTGTCTGTCTGTCTGTCTGTCCGTCTGTCTGTCCGTCTGTCTGTCTGTCTGTCTGTCTGTCTGTCTGTCTGTCTGTCTGTCTGTCTGTCTGTCTGTCCGTCTGTCTGTCTGTCTGTCTGTCCTTCCATGTATCCGTCCGTCAGTCCATGTAAACCTTTTAATCAAACTACAGGTCGCAATTTTGAAGATATTAAATTAAAATTCAATGAAATTTGGTACATGATCTTCTATTGTCCCAGAGACGAAGCCTATTGAAAATAGTTAAGATCGATCCATTATTTCACCTAGCCCCCATACAACTGAAACCCCGAATAGGGCTTGTAAACCTTGTAATCAAACAACAGGTCGTAATATTGAAGATAATTCAATGAAATTTGATACATGATCTTCTATTTTACCAGAGACGAAGCCTATTATTTCCATTATTTCACTTAGCCCCAATACAACTGAACCCCCCCGAATAGGGCTTTTATGTTCATAAATATGTGTAATATACTCGTATCTTGACAAAACGCTGCAATACTAAGTTATATACTAGCATTGATGATCCAGATTAATTTTATAATAATAGGGCCTCATTTGACCCTAGCCCTATACAAAGCCCCCTTCAAAATATGACTTAAATGTCCATAATTTTATTCAAAAATAAATGGCTTCAGTATATCTGAGGCAAGGTACAATTCAACTTAAATGCTTTATTATGAAAACTAGGGTATTAGGGTAGGGTATTAGTTAGTCGGTGTCGCCCGACTATAATTTCTTACTTGTTTCAATAAATATTAAATTCACCAAATTATCTTAAAAATTGTCTAGAGTGCACACAAAGTTTACAAGGATACAGAGACAGACGAACATATATAAATATTTACCAACACCTATAGTGGTATATAAATTATATGATGAAATCAAAAAAGTAGGTTTTACAGATAATTTATAGCTTTGAAATTAGATGTAAATTAATTTCACAATATATTTGTAATAAATATCGGCTACTATCGGCGTATAATTGACTCAAACTCATTTATAACCAGTCCCCTTTAGAAAGCGACTTTAAGAGTCATAACTGGCTGAAAACTATAGTGATGAAAATCAACACAAACTAGTTCTATAGAAACCAAAATCTCTCTACAAAATGTAACAAGTAAGAAACTATAGTCAGGCGTGGCCGACCATATGATACCCTACACCAATTGCGAATATTAAATATCATTCATTTTCAATATTAAAGTATTTGTGTTGAATCTTACATAGGTTCCAAATAATGTCTGTTCATTTCGGTTGTACGCTGACTCGGAGAAATAAAAGACCGATTTCAATAATATTCAAGAGTCTTCGTCATTGGATCCAGAGAAGAGTATGCGACAAATTTTAACAAATTATATTGAAAATTGCGAGCTGTCAAAGACGGACACAGCTAAAGGCCCAAATCGGAAGTTCCTGGCATAGGGCAGAAATTGAGCCGATCCTCATAAAATTTATTGTTGGGAATTATGTTTATATAAAACTTATAAGTGAGTTGTGGGCATTCAAGTAATTTTCAAAAGGGTACTTTGTATAGGGGCTAGGGTCTAATGAGGACCGATCATTACGAAAATCGACATTGTTATTTATAATTATATTAAACTTAATTATATAGATTTTTGGAAAGAAAGTAGTATATTTGTCGTTGTTATGAGTTAAAAGGCCCAAATCGGTCGGTACGGTTGAATGGGGGCTATGGTAAAAATTGGTCCGATCCTTATAAAATTTATTGTCGGGATTTATTTTTATATACAATTTATTTGTGTCAAATTTCATCGTGATACAAGTGATTATAAGTGAATTGTGGACGTTCAAATAATTTTCTGAAGGGGACTTAGTATGGGGGCCAGGGTCAAATGAGGCCCGATCATTACTAAGATTGACAGTGATATTTAGGATTATGTCAAACTTAGTTCTGGCAATTTTTGGGGAGATAGTAGTATATTTGACCTAGTTATGAGCTAAAAGGCCCAAATCGGAAGGTCCGGTTGTATGGGGGCTATGGCAAAAATGGGTCCGATCCTTAAAAAATTTATTGTCGGCATTTATTTTAATATAAAACTTATTTGTGCCAAATTTCATCGTGATGCAAGTGATTATAAGTGAATTGTGGACGTTCATATCATTTTCTGAAGGGGACTTAGTATGGGAGCTAGGGTCAAATAATGTCCGATCTTAACGACAATCGTTAAAATTATTAAGACTTATATAATATTAAGTTTTGCCAATTTTGTAGAGATAGTAGATCATTTAACATAATTATGAGGGCAAAAGCCCTATTCGGGTGGTCCGGGCTAGGGGAAATAATGGACCGATTTCAACTATTTTCAATAGCATTCTTCTAAAAGAAGTGCACGTTCCAAATTTCATCAAATTATCTCAAACATTGCTACCTGTAGAGTGCACACAAAGTTTACATGGACACAAAGACAGACAGACGGACATAGCTAAATCGACTCAGAAAGTAATTCTAACCCAATTGGTATTGGTTGTAGGACCAATATTTTTGGATGTTACAAACATCAGTACAAACGCATAATATCCTCCCCACTATAGTGTTGTAGGGTATAAAAATAACAAAGTTTATAATAACTTGATGATAATATTCTTTTTATTTGAAATAAATATTATTTATTATTATTAAACAACAACAAAGAAAACTAAATAAAAAACTGTACTTATTTTTGTAATTAGAAAATTTTTGAATTATTTAAATAATACTGTTTTTAAGAATTTGCTTATATTTTGCGATAAGACAAATTATACTCTTTTTTAATTGATAAGGGTTATTATCAGTTAATAAAAATATTTATTATTTAACTGGATCAGTAAAGTTACAAAGAAGGCAAATGTTTAAAAAGATTTAATAATCTAACAATTAAATACATATTGTGAATAAGTAATTTGTATTGTAATTGGAACAATAGGCTAAATACTTTGTTAATTTGTATGAAACTTAAACTTTGGACATTGTGGGCTGAGTTCTGTAGAATTTGTTGGCAATATTTTACAGTTATAGTTATGTTGAATGGATTTTACTTCCATATGTTATAGAGAGATTAAAACAATATTTTCTGCAAGTTTCTTTTATATTTATTTAATCAGTTAAAATTTTCAAAATTAAAGGCCCTTACTTCACAACAGCAGATGAGTTTATACAAATATTCAGTAAGAGGCTCGACTTTTTGCAAAAAATTATTGTTTTTTTAACACTTTCATATGATTGCCAAGAAAAAAAAAAATAATAGAAATAATTAATTATACGAACAAGTTTTTTTATTGCAAAAATAAAACAATTTATCTTTTTGTGTTATATCAAATTATTTTATATACTACATATTATCAACAATTCCCATTATATAAACAAAGTGCAATGTTTCACAATTTAAACAAATGTTTATATTAATTATATATGTACGTCTATTAACGCTAAACAAAAAAAAAAATAAATATCTTCTAAATATTGTCACTTTTATTAAAAGCAAACGCTACGTTTTACGACTTTTTTTATTATACATTCTAATTACAACATTTTTATTCTACTTTTTAGCTTAAATTACCGCATTTAAGCATTAATTAGAATAATATGAATTTGTTGGGAAGTTTAAATAAAAAATAAAATTTTTAAATGACATGTTAGAGGCGAATGCCAAACACTCTAAGAGAAGATACATGTTTGACATTAAATTTTCATTGAACGTTTAGAAGCAAAGCAAGCTATCTGCTTCTTAATTACTTAAGAAAACTCAATGATTCCCAGTATTCCTAAGTAGTCGGGCTTGACCTTATAACTACATTCATTGTATTTAAAATATTTAGAATTCTTTGATGGAAAATTGATTTTATGGAAGAGACCTATGGGGAATAGGACAGGCAGATACAAATTAAATTGATGGACAGATAGTTATTAGTTAGTGGTTAGTTAGTTAGTTAGTTAGTTAGTTAGTTAGTTAGTTAGTTAGTTAGTTAGTTAGTAGTTAGTTTAGTTAGTTAGTTAGTTAGTCTTAGTTAGTAGTTAGTTAGTTAGTTAGTCGTTAGTTAGTTAGTTAGTTAGTTAGTTAGTTAGTTAGTTAGTTAGTTAGTTAGTTAGTTAGTTAGTTAGTTAGTTAGTAGTTAGTTAGTTAGTTAGTAGTTAGTTAGTTAGTTAGGTTAGTTAGTAGTTAGTTAGTTAGTTAGTTAGTTAGTTAGTTAGTTAGTTAGTTAGTTAGTAGTTAGTTCGTTAGTTAGTTAGTTAGTTAGTTAGTTAGTTAGTTAGTTAGTTAGTTAGTTAGTTAGTTAGTTAGTTAGTTAGTTAGTAGTTAGTTAGTTAGTTAGTTAGTTAGTTAGTTAGTTAGTTAGTTAGTTAGTTAGTTAGTTAGTTAGTTAGTTAGTTAGTTAGTAGTTAGTTAGTTAGTTAGTAGTTAGTTAGTTAGTTAGTTAGTTAGTTAGTTAGTTAGTTAGTTAGTTAGTTAGTAGTTAGTTAGTTAGTTAGTTAGTTAGTTAGTTAGTTAGTTAGTTAGTTAGTTAGTTAGTTAGTTAGTTAGTTAGTTAGTTAGTTAGTTAGTTAGTAGTTAGTTAGTTAGTTAGTTAGTTAGTTAGTTAGTTAGTTAGTTAGTAGTTAGTTAGTTAGTTAGTAGTTAGTTAGTTAGTTAGTTAGTTAGTTAGTTAGTTAGTTAGTTAGTTAGTTAGTTAGTTAGTTAGTTAGTTAGTTAGTTAGTAGTTAGTAGTTAGTTAGTTAGTTAGTTAGTTAGTTAGTTAGTTAGTAGTTAGTCGTTAGTTAGTTAGTTAGTTAGTAGTTAGTTAGTTAGTTAGTTAGTTAGTTAGTTAGTTAGTTAGTTAGTTAGTTAGTTAGTTAGTTAGTTAGTTAGTTAGTTAGTTAGTTAGTTAGTTAGTTAGTTAGTTAGTTAGTTAGTTAGTTAGTTAGTTAGTTAGTTAGTTAGTTAGTTAGTTAGTTAGTTAGTTAGTTAGGTAGTTAGTTAGTTAGTTAGTTAGTTAGTAGTTAGTTAGTTAGTTAGTTAGTTAGTTAGTTAGTTAGTTAGTTAGTTAGTTAGTTAGTTAGTTAGTAGTAGTTAGTTAGTTAGTTAGTTAGTTAGTTAGTTAGTTAGTTAGTTAGTTAGTTAGTTAGTTAGTTAGTTAGTTAGTTAGTTAGTTAGTTAGTTAGTAGTTAGTAGTTAGTTAGTTAGTTAGTTAGTTAGTAGTTAGTTAGTTAGTTAGTTAGTTAGTTAGTTAGTTAGTTAGTTAGTTAGTTAGTTAGTAGTTAGTTAGTTAGTTAGTTAGTTAGTTAGTTAGTAGTTGGTTGTTAGTTGGTTGGTTAGTTGGTTGATTAGTTGGTTAGTTAGTTAGTCATTCATATCAGCAGAAAAATTATTTCATCTGACATGCCTATATACAGGCGGGCAGAAAGATACCTCTAGATCTATACTTCTATGAGAATTCAGGTCTCAAAAATATATTGAAAACGGAATACAAGTTCATATTAAATACCCTACCCATACAGGTGAAGGGTATTAAAACATGGCGATTAACACCTTTGCTTCTATGCCATTCAACTATGTGTTAGTGTACTAATGTATATAAGTTATTTTTACTACATTTCAAAAAAGAAATTTGCATTCTAAGTATTGTTATATTGTCCATTAATTAAACTAATTATTTGAATGTCTTGTGAAATAAAATAATTTATGCTGAAGAATTAAAGGTTGCACTGAGAGCTAGATGTTTTAGTGTAAAATAAATGACAAATGTGTCTTTACTAAAGAAAGATAACGTACATATGTATGTTAATTTTCATCTGCTGCATTCAAATGCTATTTAAAACTGTAAGTAGTATTATTAAAATAACCACAATTTAATGGTTAATTAAGCAGTTGCATTATTAATCTCTTTCCTTTTTTACCCATAAATATTTATTTGGTTTCTTTATCAAACAAAAATTTAAATTTTGTTCTGTCATTGGACTTGACAGTTTATGGGAATTGTTAATCTTATCGCTTTTTTATGCATGGTGGTTTTAATTAGTTTAATAAACATAAAAAATTTCAGATTAACTGGATTTTAACTGCTGAGCTCTACTAACATTTTCGATAATGTCACTTAGGTAATCTTCATTGAAGAAGAAGTCAAAGGTTATTTCTTTGAACAATTGTGAAAATAACATTTAAAGAAATATTTGTAATTGACGTCAGCACTTTGATTTAAAATGAAAATAAAAATCTGAAAAATCTCATACATATACCTATCATCCAGGCGTGCCAGATTTTTCGATATTTTCTACAACAAAAACGATTTTTATTTCATTGAAAAATATTTTAAAATTATTTTTTTAATTTTTTTGTAAAAACTAAACTTTACAAGAGCATAAGTCAAACCTTTGACCTTTAAGTATAGATTACATGCCATTCAGTAAATGGTACGAGATTTGATAAAATATTGCTGCATTAACAAAATAAAACCAAGCTTATCGCAGCAATTATGACAATTTGCAAAATTATATCAGTATTTTAAGAAAAAAACGAGTTAGAGTGCTATATTCGGCTGAGCCGAATCTTAAATAACCTCCACCAGATACTTTTATATTAATACTTTTCGAAATGATCAAATATTTGTAGAAATAAGTTAACTCATGTCTTAAATAGAAAAATCCCAAGATTTAAACAGCTTATATATATAACAATTGCAATATTTATTGAACATTACAAACGCCATTTTCTTTATATTTTTATAGCGCTTAGCGATATTTAGTAATTTGCATGTATACATGTGTGTGAAAGATTTAAGGATTTTCAAAATACTTATGCAGCTAGTTAAATACGGTTAAAGCGCTTTTAGGGGCAGGACCTAGTATGGTAGATATGAAAAATTATAGACTGATCGTAAAAAATTCTTTAAGCAAAATTTCTGTACATAAAAGCTATATTTCAGTAAAATTTTGTATCTATATTGTAATTTAGTAATAAGTAATGTGTGTTTAAGTGTTTTTCTGAAGGGAACCTTGTATGGGACCGATCGCACCCATGTTATGAACCAATCATGAAAAAATCTTGAAATTGAATTTTTCTATACAAAACCAATATTTGTGCCAAATTTTGTATCAATATCTTTATTTGGTAATGAGTAATGTGCGCTTAAGAGATTTTCCTAAAAGGACCTTGTATGGGAGCTATGACCAATTATGTATATAAAGACAAAATTTCAAAATTCTGTATCGATATCATTGTGCATTTAAGTGATTTTCTGGAGAGGACCTAGTATGAGAGCTATGACCAAATATGGACCGATCGTAAAACAATTTTATAGTGTAATTTATGTATATAAGAGCAGTGATTTTGCTAAATGTATGGATATCAATATTTGGTTATAAGTAATGTGCGTTTAGGTGATTTTCGGGAAGAATGTGTAAAAAATGCTTATTTTTTCGAGGTTGTTTTAAATTTTGATTCATAACTTTTCCCGGTGTGAACCGATTTTGCCCATTTTCAATACCAAACAATTTCGGAAAGTCAAGAACATTTTGGGTGAATTTGGTCAAATTCTATTGCTTTATTTTATCGTGAGCGTGTTTTACACAGACAGACGGACATAGCTAAATCGACTCAGAATTTGATAAGGACCCAGAATATATATACTTTGTTGGGTCTCAGATGAATATTTCTTGGTGTTACACGCAGAATGACACCATATCACCACTGATGGTGGTGGAGGGTATAAAAATAATCCTACTTTTTAGTAAAATCTTAATGACGTGTACTACACTCTAAGTACGTATGTATGTGATGCATAGAACTGAAATCTCTTCTTCTATTTAAATAACACTTTAATTTATAAACTAAACGGTACACGAATATCTAAAATTTCATTCATGACAGGTAGAGAAACAGTATATTATACTTAAAGTATTCCTGTATTCTAAATTAACACTTTTTTCATTTCCAATAGTAAATATGTATATATAATTGTTTCTTTATTATTTTGTATATCTATTACAGTAAACAATATAACAGTAATTAATAAGTTATTGTAGTAAATTATTATCTAGAGAATGTAAAATGTCTAGCGTGAAAAAAACTATTCATATTTGTTTACAATATTTTGTTGCAATAATGACTTTGATTTTTTTTTAATTATTAACAACTAAATGAAATAGTAACTTCAGTCAAACGTGACGGATTTGCAATTAAAAATATATAAATTTTTATTTATAATTATTATACAAAAATATTGTGATCTAAGTGAAGAAATTAAAAAAATTTTGAAAGTATAGATTCCGCATCAGATGAACTGCTCGATTTTTGAGTACGAGAACTTGACAACCCATTTTCGTATGTCTTGTTCTGAAGCGTATTCCAGAGAGCGTACTGCATCGGACAAGGCCAAGATCTCACCAATACTTATTATACCCTACACCACTTTAGTTGGGAGTTTGGGTTTGTGCGGATGTTGGAAACGCACAATAATATTGTTCCTATATCCATCCTAAAGTATACCAATCGGCTTAGAAGCATTTTCTGAATCGATTTATCTATATCTGTCTGTCTGTCTATCTGTCTATCTGTCCGTCCGTCCATGGCTTAAAAATATGAATATAATGACGAAATTTGTAACACATAAGTTTTATGAGAGCCAAAATTAGTGAATATCGGTCCATAATTGGCCCTACCGCCCATACAAGGTCCCCTTCAGAAAATTACTTTAACGCTCATTACTGTTTAAAAAATAGGATTATAGCGATAAAATTTGACACAAGTAAGTTCCTCGCGAGCCACAATTTCTCTACTGAATTGTATGTGGATCGGTCCATAATTGACCCTAACCCCAATATAAGGTCCCCTTCAGAAAATTGCTTAAACGATCATTGCTGGTTTAAAAATACGAGTTATGAAATACGGTTATGAAATTCGACATAAGAAACTGTACTACGAACTTTAATCTTGCTACCGACATTCATGTGGAATTTGTCGGTAACCCTACCCCGATTGATGTCAATTATAGACAATGATTGTATATAAGTCATTACGACAGTACTTAATAGTAATGTATTCGGTATGTAGCACTCATTGAAAAGTTGTTGTGTAAGCACAAATCTTTACCAAGTTTTTTCTAAGAAATTAAAAGTAAATTTTTTATGAAATCACGAACCGATTTTTAAAATTTCGTAGGTAATTAAAAATTTTCATAAAATCTTAAAAATTTTGAACCCTACCTTGATGACCTTTACAGACATGTCTTAAACGACTCAGGAAGTGATTTTGACTACTTTCTGACGATTAGAGCTTTAATAGGTCAATTATGTATTGATTATATTTCTAACTTCATTGTTCTTATTTTCTTAGACTTTTATCTTTCAAAATCGAAGAAAGACGTTTGGCCACCAGTGAATTTGAAACCATTGATACATACTATGGTAAAGTTCGGGGTATGAAGCGCAAAAATGCTTATGAAGCATTTGGTTCTTATTATGCATTTGAGGGAATTCCATATGCTAAACCACCCATAGGAGAATTAAGATTTCGAGCACCACTTCCGCCAGAGCCGTGGGACGATGTGCTAGATTGTTTGTACTACAAATCAAAGCCAGTGCAAAAGGATTTCATTAAAAGGATTACTCTTGGGTCAGAAGATTGTCTATATTTAAATGTCTATGCTAAAAAGGTATTTTGTTTTGATGAATTTTCTTAAAATTTTTTCTATTAAGTAGTATTTTTTTATATAAAAGCTTTGTTCTGAAAAACCTTTACCCGTTATGGTTTGGATATATGGCGGTGGCTTTCAAATAGGTGAAGCTAGTCGAGAAATCTATTCGCCAGATTATTTTATGCAAAAGGATGTTATACTAGTAACAGTGGCATATCGTTTGGGAGCTTTGGGTAATTTGATATTGTTATAATTTTAAACTTAATTTAATTTATACATTTTTATTTAAAAATTCTAGGTTTTCTTAGTTTAAATGACCCCGATCTACAAGTACCTGGCAATGCTGGCCTTAAAGACCAAATTATGGCATTGAAATGGGTTCAACAAAATATTGAATACTTTAATGGTGATCCCAATAATGTAACACTATTTGGTGAAAGTGCCGGAGCAGCTTCTACCCATATATTAATGCTGACACCCCAAGCCAAGGGTCTGTTCCATAAGGCCATTTTACAATCTGGTGCGGCGATATGCGGTTGGGCCAATACGCCTCCTCTAGATTGGGGCTATAAACTGGCCTGTAATATAGGCTATAAAGGCAACAATAACGACAAAGAGGTTTTTCGCTTTTTAGCCAAACAAGATGCCAAAAAATTGGCTTGCAGGGATACAGTAATGTTAAGTCGTCAGGAAAGATTTGATAATATATTATTTGCATTTACACCAGTAGTGGAACCTTATATGACAGACACCTGTATAACAAATAAACCTTTTAAGGATTTATTGCCCAGTGCCTGGAGTAATGAAATACCACTAATTGTGGGTGGTACGTCATTTGAGGGACTGTTTTATTATGCCACGATAACGAGATCGAATTTTCTGGTAAATGACCTAACGGACTGTATTAATCTGCTACCTGATGACATCATACCCAAACATACAAACGAAGAACTCAAGGTCATGGCCTCCAAACTAAAACAAACCTATTTTGGCAGCAAATCACCCAGTGTTAAGGAAACCTTATTTGAATATATGGATCTTATGAGTTATAGAACATTTTGGCATGCCATGTTTAGAACTATTAAAGCTAGATCAGCCTATGCTACCCAAGTACCTACCTATTGTTATGTTTTCGATTTTGATTCAGATTTTTTCAATCATTTTCGCGTTTTAAATTGTGGCAAATCTGTGCGGGGTGTTTCGCATGGTGACGATATTTCCTATTTATTCTACAATGTAGTAGCTGAGAAATTGCCCGTCACCTCAGCAGAATTTAAATCTATACAACGTCTCATAGGCATATGGTATAATTTTGCCTTAAACTCCAATCCCAATTGTAAAGAAATTCAAACAGTTTCTTGGCAACCAGTTGGTCATGATACAGATTTACAAAAACCCATTAAGATTTTAAATATAAGTGATGAGCTAGAGTTCAAGGACTTGCCTATGCATCGTAATCTACAAATCTGGAATAGTTTCTATACAAAGGAATCTTTATATTAAAAAGTATAAAGGATTTTTCTTTGTTTTTGAAACCAGTTTAAAACTTGCCAATGATGTGATAGTAAATAAACAAAATTTTTTTTAGTTTAAGTATAAATCTGTGGAGTGGAACAAAATTCCTAGAATTAAATAAATACAAATTAATGGTTAAAATTATGAACATAAATAAATTGTTTAATATGTAGTTGTTTTTTATTAACTTGGTTATTGATTTTTATTGTTAATAAATGATTTTTTTTATATTTATAGACCAATAAAAAAATTTGAATAAACAATTTGTACTATTGGTATATTTTTAATTACAGCAATTAAATATAAAACTATTTGTTTTAAATGCCATTTGTATTACAAATTATGGTTATTTTTAATGCAAAGTGATATTAATCATTTTTTGCACTTATAACAAATGTTTTAAGTTTTATGAGTTCAAGCCACAACTTACATAAATATATACCAACCATCTGAATATGAGTAGATGATAAACATATAGATTACTTCATTCGAAATATTTATATATAACATCGCTTAATACGAATCCCTAATTTATCATTGCTTATCATTGCTTCACAATGCTTTTTCTTAGACATTACAAAAACCTTAGACATTTAACTATCATAAAGACTTATTGATCTATTCATGTTTATAATATTTTTATAAATTAAGTTTTTAAAAGTTTTTAAATGAAATTAAATAAGTATTACTTGTATTAATAATACGTGGTATAACGCAGTATCAGTTAATTTCACAAAATCATTTTTTTTTTTTTTTTTTTTTTTTGTTAAAAATCTGGTTATTTTTAATCGAAATGTTAACATATATTAATTATTTTAACCAACCGTTTATCTTTGCGATAACTAGGGGTTTAGAAATGCTTACTAAACTTTCAGTCAGAGTTGTGGTTATATTTTAAATTAGATATGGCGGAAACGTATCCGCAAGTGTTTTTGAATTTATCAAAATGTCTGTCTGCAATTTGTTAAGTAATGTTAAGTAAAAACATTTATCGTTGAACTACGAAAGAGAATGAGCCAAAGAATGAACAACATGTTCACATATATATTTACACATGTAGGTCTGATTGCGTTCTGTAATAGAGGAAAGAAAAAAAAACAAATTTGAGAGAATTGATTTTATATTTTTTATACGATAATAAATACTCTCTCTGCAAAAAATTATAGTATTCAAATTTTAAAATAATCAGCTGCTTATGTTTACGAAATGGATAAATGAAAACAAAGACGAAGAAAGTATTTGTTTATATTAAATAAAAAAGAAAACAAAACGAGAACCAGTAAATAAAAGCTAGAATGTATAATGGGAAATAATGACGTATATTGATAACTACAGAGCTGCCAGATTAAACGAGTGGGATAAGTGCATAAAAGTGTACACAACTAACTAACTAACTAACTAACTAACTAACTAACTAACTAACTAACTAACTAACTAACTAACTAACTAACTAACTAACTACTAACTAACTAACTAACTAACTAACTAACTAACTAACTAACTAACTAACTAACTACTAACTAACTACTAACTAACTAACTACTAACTAACTAACTAACTAACTAACTAACTAACTAACTAACTAACTAACTAACTAACTAACTAACTAACTAACTAACTAACTAACTAACTAACTAACTAACTAACTAACTAACTAACTAACTAACTAACTAACTAACTAACTAACTAACTAACTAACTAACTAACTAACTAACTAACTAACTAACTAACTAACTAACTAACTAACTAACTAACTAACTAACTAACTAACTAACTAACTAACTAACTAACTACTAACTAACTAACTAACTAACTAACTAACTAACTAACTAACTAACTAACTAACTAACTAACTAACTAACTAACTAACTAACTAACTAACTAACTAACTAACTAACTAACTAACTAACTAACTAACTAACTAACTAACTAACTAACTAACTAACTAACTAACTAACTAACTAACTAACTAACTAACTAACTAACTAACTAACTACTAACTAACTAACTAACTAACTAACTAACTACTAACTAACTAACTAACTAACTAACTAACTAACTAACTAACTAACTAACTAACTAACTAACTAACTAACTAACTAACTAACTAACTAACTAACTAACTAACTAACTAACTACTAACTAACTAACTACTAACTAACTAACTAACTAACTAACTAACTAACTAACTAACTAACTAACTAACTAACTAACTAACTAACTAACTAACTTACTTTTTGCTCCAAATAAAGCCTTTACAATATGGGCAATTTCGTGTCAAGTGACCCAACTTTTAAAATCGATGTCTTCCCGTCAAGATTTATTCGACAAGAACTGCCAGACTTAGATAGGGTCAAAGTTGGACATTTTGGTCATAAAGGGTTTTATTCACCTATTGGTCCTAGCAAAAATTGTCCAAAGGAGTTCAGATAGCTGTTTCTTCATTGAAAGCGTAACCACAAAGCTCTTTAAGGATATATTCTAAGCTTTCCTTTGAGCGAAAAAAAACAACAACGTCCATTTTGAATAAAATTGGGGAAAATTTTATGCCAAATATTGAAAAAAATCTTATTCATTAAATAAAAAAAATCTTTTTTTTATCGATATCCCACTGGCATCCCATTGTGGTACTATAAAACCATTAAAGGAAACCGTATAAGCTTTCTTCTGAGCAAAAAAAAAGAGTTTTTTGAAAAAAAGTTCTTTGTTAAAAAAAATATATATATATTTTGGAAATAATGAAGACATAGCTATCTGAACTCTTTTAGACAATTTTTGGTAGGACCAATAGGTGAAAAGTTACATTCATTTGAATAAAACCCTGTATGGTCAAAATGTCCAACTTTAACCCCCTCTTAGTCCTGCAGCTCTTGACCGATAGAGCTGAAAATTTGTGTATGGCTACTATCCAATAGTACTAATCTTGGTGCAAATTTCATTTAAATCGATTTTTTGAGTTGGGTTACTTGACACAAAATTTAATTTAATTTATAAGTAGGGTGACAACTTTCGGTCATGACCGAAAAAAATTTTCTTATTTTTTTTTTTTTTATTTACAAAAATTTCTATTCTTGCAACTTAATTTTGAAATCCGGCAACTCCTAGTCTATTCGAAAGAGTAAACCATTCAAATCTTGTCGATTGCAGTACAAAAGCAACCAAAGAGAAAATTGAGTAATAATATGTGGTTTAAATTTTTGTTGTAATTATTATTGTATTTCTTTTTATCGTCTATACTAACTGCAGCAAGTATGAATATATCTAAATATCTAAAATGCAAAACAAACTCAATTTATTCATTCTTACGAATACAATTGTCAACACAAAACGCATTGAGAAAAAGTTACGCTGAAAAATTTTACAATAAAATTATTAATTATTTCATAAACAATTTTTAGAAAAAAAAAAATATTTTTATTTCTAATAAAAAAAAAATGGACAGCAGGTAAATATAATTTTTATTCATAAAATAAAAATAAATCAATAGAATTTAATTGTGTGTGCATTAGCAACCTAGTAATCAACACCACTTTGGGCCCCGTCAGGGGTCATGAGTGTAAGGGCGTTTACGATGATTTATATTATTCATTTGAACGCATACCATTTGCTGAAGTACCAGTGGGTGAGTTACGTTTTCGTCCGCCCCAACCTAAAAAACCCTGGTCGGAGATTTTGGATTGTACGCAAAAACCATGTAAGCCAATGCAAAAAAATCCATTTAATAATCAAATAGAAGGAAGTGAAGATTGTTTATATGTGAATATCTATGCAAAACAGGTTTGTGTTCATCTCTTTTTTTTGTTGTTTCGAAGAGTTAGAATTAAAGAGAAATTTTATTTAAGAGAACTTTGGAATTTTTGGTTTTCTAGCTAAACTCTTCGAAACCTTTGCCGGTTATAGTATTTCTCTTTGGTGGTGCTTTTGAGAAAGGTGATCCCAGCAGAGATCTTCATGGTCCCGATTATTTTATGAAGAAAGATGTGATATTTATAACACTAGGCTATCGTTTGGGTGCTTTGGGTAAGAGTGGAAGAAAACTTTGAAATAAATATAATTTTAAACATTCTGTTTTTAGGTTTTATATCCTTTAAAGATCCTGATTTGAAAATACCCGGTAATACAGGTCTGAAAGATCAGCTGCTGGCCTTGAAATGGCTAAAGGAAAATATTTCCCGTTTCAATGGAAATATTGAAAATATTACACTTTTCGGAGAAAGTGCTGGTTCGGCTTCGGTGCATTATTTAATGTGTTGTCCCTTAGCTAAAGGATTATTTCACAAAGCTATACTAATGTCTGGTACTTTGCTATGTCCCTGGGCTTTTAATCCTCTGGATAAACTGCCACTACGCTTGGCTAAGGCTTGTGGTTATGAGGGACCAGCTGAAGATGAACAACAAATTTGTGCTTATTTACAAAAATTACCAGCCGAAGAACTAATGAAACCTTATTTACTGAATAAGGAAGAAAATCTGAATGATTGTTTCTTTAACTTTGGACCCTGTATAGAACCCTATGTAGATGATATGTGTATTATAAATCAACATCCAGAGGATATTGTGCACAATTCATGGGGTCATGAAATTCCAGTATTAATGGGCGGAACCTCTTTCGAGGGTCTGCTCATGTTTCCACGTGTACATATGACACCTTATATTTTAACCGAATTAGAGGAAAATCCTCAACATTTACTACCATTTCCCTTAAAAAAGAAATATTCTCTAGATGTGCAACAGCAATTGGGTGCGAAAGTTAAAACTGCACATTTTGGTGAGAAAAAAGCTGCCATGGAAAATGTTATTAACTATTGTGATGTAAGTAAATATAAAAAAAAAATCTGTTCATTACCTAATAATTTTTCTACTCCTTTAGTATGCCTCCCACAAAGTTTTCTGGCATCCAATTTTACGCTCACTTAAAGTTCGTATTCTCGCTGGAAAAGCACCCACTTATTTATATCGTTTTGATTTCGATTCACCTGACTTCAATCATCAACGCATCAAATATTGCGGCCAACAAATGCGTGGCGTAGCCCATGTAGACGATCACTCATATTTATTTTATGGTAATTTCTCTTGGAAATTATCCCCAGAGACGGCTGAATATAAAACCATTCAACGCTTGATTGATATTTGGTCGTCGTTTGCCATCAATGCAAATCCCAATTGTGGCCAAACGAAAGAGGTATTAAAGGAACGCAATTGGTTGCCTGTGTGTAGTGTAGACGATATTAAATGTTTGAATATTGGCAGGGAATTAGATTTGATTGATTTGCCGGAATTGGAAAAGCTAAAAGTATGGGAAAGTGTTTACAGTGTTTGAGTCATGAACGTATGATGGGATGCAATGTTGCAGAAGTAAAATAATGTAGAACAAATATTAGAAAAATGCTTATTAGCATAAAACTAAATGGAACTTAGATATATTATTAAAACATATATTTGTATGTTATATAACCAAAAAAAAAAATTTTTCAAAATAAAATATTCTCAGTAAAAATGCTCAAGTTAAACCTATAAAATATATCTCTGGTATATAAAACTTTATGAAGCTTTAATAATCATTACAAAGTTGTCTTTAAAATACTTCAATGTCTTAAAATTACTAAAACATACACCGATAGAGGACATTTAATAGATTTTTTTCATGTTACATCTATCCTTATTGAATATCGTAGAGAAATTTTTGTTCCTTTAAAAAATTTTTATCTCTAATTTCCAGGCTTGGGGGTAATGATTAAATTTTCAATTATAATTACATTTGAAGAAATTGTAATTAAAACTTTTCCAATTATAATTACTTGTAATTATAATTTAAGTTTTGCCTATTACAATTATTTGTAATGTGTAATTGAGCAATAACCTATTACTTGCAATTAAAGAGTTTGCAATTACAATTACTTGTAATTAAAGAATTTGCAATTACAATTACTTGCATTTGTAATTCGTATTACATACCTAAATAACAAATACTATTAATTGTATTTGGTAAACTGCAATTACAATTACAAGTAATTGCATTTGACAAAAATTTCAATTACAAGTAATTGTAATAGGTTATTGCACAATTACACATTACAGCTAATTGTAATTGACCATATAATGAATTACTTTATGTAATCATTACACCCCAAACCTGCTAATTTCATCGATATGCTGGTATTTTGAAGTCTGTCGTGAAGGTTTAAGTCAATTTATGAAGAACACATTACATGATCAGTTATGAACCGATCCTAGGATGAAATATAAACAGTTATAAGAGTTAAAGTAACTTTTTTTAGGGAACCTTATTTGGAGGCTAGGGTCAAATACTTTCCTTATATGGGAACTTGAATGAAATGCTAACCAAATCTGTTCAACCGATAAAATTTAGTAGAAAGATTTTAGTTAATGGAGGATATAATCAAATATGGCCAGTTGTAAATGTTAAAGTAAGATTTTTAAGATGACTTTATATGGGGGCTTGGACCAAATACTTCAGTTCCTATAAAAATCCTGCAAAAGAGGCATGATACAAATTAACTTAAATAGTTTATTATGAAAACTAAATCACATTTTATTTTGATGTAGGGCATTATATGGTAGGCTTCGCCCCTCTATAACTTATTTTTTTATACCCACCATCAAAAAAGATGTTGGTGGCTTACAAATAAGTATACATTTATGCAATTTGATATAAGATTCTTAAGTATGTCTTATACGAGCCAAAACCTTTCCACCAAATTTTATGCGTATCGGTCCATAATTGACCCTACCCCCCATATAAGGTCCCCACAAAAAAATTACTTTAACGCTCATTACTGGCTTACAAATACGAGTATAGCGATGAAATTTCACATAAGTAAAATTTATACGAGCCAAAATCTCTCTATCAAATTTTGTGGTGATCGGTCCATAATTGACCCTACCCTCCATTTAAGGTCCCCATCAGAAAATTACTTTAACGCTCATTACTGGGTTAAAAATGCGAGTACAAAATCGCTTTACCAATTTTTATGAGGATCAGTCCATTACAACCCCTCCCCATATAAATTACCTCTCAGAAAATTACTACAAGGCGAAAAATACGAATACCGCAATGCAACTCGACATAAACTAATTTTATGCTAAAATCTCTCTACCATATTTTATGAGGGTCGGTCCATAATTAAACCTAACCCCGTATAAGGTCCCTTCAAGAAAATGACTTTAATGCTCATTACTGGCTTAAAGATGAAATTTGAAATAAATAAGGAACTGAAATATTCCTACCGAGTTTTATGAGAATTGGTCCATATATGTATGTATAAATAACCCTACTACCTATATAAATTAATATATTTAATTCGAAAGAGCACTGTCAATAGTTAAACCCCCATTCATGGACCTCTTACAAATATTTCCCTGATGTTCTAATTAATATCGACATATAATAAAATATTCAAAATATAAGTTTATTTATATGGCAGTGATTTGATGGTGGGTATAAAAGATTCGGCATAGCCGAATATAACACTCTTACTTGTTAAAAACAAATATTTTGTTAATTCAAAAGAGCTCGGTCAATAATTGATTTAAGGTATATTACAAATATCACCCTGATGTTTAAAGGGGAGCATTCCTTTTACGGCATACTATTTGATGATGGGTATATGATATTCGGCACAGCCGAATTTAACACTCTTACTTGTTTTTAAATAAATCACTCAGTTTGATATATTTTAAGCTGTAATGCATAATCTCCTTCACTCTTAAATAGTGTAGGGTATAAAAACCCTGCAGTTCAACATTCGAAAAAGACAGTGATTTCTACTAACGTCTAACCACCTGGTTGGCTCTAATTCGTCTTTCGTTACGAATGTACTCTTTGTGAAAGAGGGTGAAGATAATCGTCACTTTAATGTCCTCTTTGTAAGCGAGAAAAGGGACACTTAAAAAACACTTGTCTGTTTCTTCGTAACCGATAAGGTGACGATTGATTTCCTCGTAGGACAGTCGGTTGCTAGGGGTAACCGTAAGTGGTAGGTTAGAGAGTTCCGAACTGCTGGGAATAATAATTTAACGATAACAATTTCGTTAAAATGTAAAACATCTGAACGTGTGAACGTGTTTTTACTCTAATATTCACATTATGTCGATGTGCAATCTTGATAAATATGTATATAAAATTATTTATTTTTTTAAATAATTTTTGCTAGTCATGTTTTCGCTTAATGACAATCTTAATCGTACAAAAAAAAATAATAATCAACCTTTGCAGCATGAAAATTATATTTAGTTCTTTAATAGATATGTGATAATATTGACGGTGTTTCGAGTCGAATAAAAATTTGCAGGAATTAATAAATGTATATATCCTAAAATATATGAAAATATTAACATTATCATAAATAAGAACACGTAGCTGGAGCTATTGGAAATGTGAATATAAATATATTCATTGGGGAGAACTGAACATGAAAGTGTTCTTGTAGGTGAAGTTATATTCGATGTGATTATTAATCAGTCTACTTGATATGATGTCAAATGATTACATTCTTAGTTATTTGTTTTTTTACTTTTCCACTATGATAAGACAAACACTTCTATTAAAAATAAATATAAACAAATAATTAAAAGCTCTTCAGTTTAAGCATTATAATAAAAAAAGAGCATAAAAAACTTATGTTTAATATTTAATTAAGAGAAAATAATACAATTTAAATGTCAAGTCAAGTAAAACTTAAACTGGCAAAATTTTAAAACAAATTGAATTTGATTAGTTGGTTGCTTAAGCTAAAAGAGACAACAACTTGTGAGCAGACATGGAAGGCGACGAGTAAGTTTTATATATACAGATAACTATTTATAGTTAATTAAATAATGTTTGTTAAATATATGTTTTCCAGTATAAAATATCAAGAAATTGCTTTACCCGTGGGTCAGCTTAGAGGCTGTGTGAGAAAAACAATTTATGATGAAGAATACTTCAATTTTGAGGGTATACCTTATGGTCAGCCACCTGTAGGTGATTTAAGATTTAAGGCACCACTACCGGCTAAACGATGGACTGGGGTAAGGGATTGTTTTGAATTTGATGTCAGACCTATGCAGAAGAGTTCTTTAACGGGCGAGATAATGGGATCAGAAGATTGTCTATACTTAAATGTTTATGCTAAAAAGGTGAGTAATAGTTTTGAATATTATTATATTAAAAAGTTATATAAGTTAGTATTTAAAACGTTTCAACGATTTCCATAAATTTAGGTTCAAAATTATTTACATGTTCAATCTATCAAAAACAAAAACATTCCATTCAAATTTGTAGTTGTCTTCGTTTTATGATCAAGTGAAAGTATTTCGGGAAAATGTCATTACTCTACTTATGTTATCTTCTATGATCAGATGGACGGACTTATACGACTTCCAATTTTTGTAAAATTTTTACCGAAGAAAAACCACCTTTAGACTTTTCTATAAATTAGTCTTGAGAATATCACATGGACTGGTCTAGCCTATGGACTAGTTTATTGACTGGACTATTGGCTTGTCTATTGACCAGTCTATGAACTAGTCTGTGGTAGACTATCTAGTCCGCGAACTAGAGTATTGACTACTCTATGAGCTAGTCAATGTTATATTCATCCCTGAGAAAGATGTATCAGCAATATATCGATACATTACACACGGATTACAAAATTAATAAACCCTCATCTCATAGTTTAGATTTTTTATTTCTTCACTTAGAAATCATGGAATTCTGAGTTGCTTAAAGAACTTTTTCTTTCTTCATAGCTTAATACCGAAAAACCTCTTCCCGTTATGGTGTGGATATATGGTGGCGGTTTTGCCACTGGCGAGGGTACAAAAAATCTTTACAGTCCCGATTATTTTATGAAAGAAGATATAGTACTGGTTACTTTTAATTATAGACTGTGTTCACTGGGTAAATTTATAACAATTACATTATCAATAGGTATTCCAGATACTAATACCCTTCTATATTTTCAGGTTTTCTTAGCATCGAAGATCCCGCCCTTCAAATACCTGGTAATGCTGGTTTAAAAGATCAAATTTTAGCCTTAAAATGGGTTAAGCAATATATTAAACATTTCAATGGTGATCCAGACAACGTTACCGTATTTGGTGTAAGTGCCGGTGGTGCTTCTACTCATTTTTTGACTGCTACACCTCAGACCAAAGGTCTCTTGCACAAGGCTATATGTATGTCGGGTTCAATGCTAAATAGTTGGGCTAATACACCTCAAAAAGATCATGCCTATCGTTTGGCTAAATTTCACGGTTATGAGGGTGAAAATAATGATATCGATGTTGTCGAGTTTCTGAAAAAACTAGAGCCCCAGAAATTGGTTCAACACGATATATTAACTGATCAAGAAAAACGTAATGGTATTATGTTTACTTTTGGTCCTTGCATTGAAAGTTATGTGGGGGAGGATTGTGTTATACCACAAGAACCGCGTGAAATGTTAAAATCGGCCTGGGGTAATGATATACCCATAATGATAGGCGGTACCTCTAATGAGGGCTACTTAATGTATCCCAAATTAAAAATGTTTCCACAAGCTATGAATGCCATTAATCATGATTTGGAAAGAATGTTGCCCGTAGAGGTGAGGGAAGATGATAAAGAGCAATCTTTAATAAAGGCCCAACGTTTGTTAAGGATACATTTTGGTGACAAAACTCCCAGTAATGAATGTATGGAGGAATTTTTAGATGTAAGTATGACATGAAACTTAATTATTCACTTTGTAATATGCATTATTTTCTGTGTTAAAGTTTTATGGCTTTAAAGCTTTCTGGCATGGTTTTCATCGTTCTTTACTTTCACGCCTTGCCTATGCCAAAGCTCCCACTTACCTTTATCGTTTCGCCTTCGATTCGCCCACTTTTAATCATCATCGCAAACGTTTCTGTGGTGATGACCTGAAAACCGGTGTGGCTCATGCTGATGATGTTTCATATTTATGGTATGGTTTCTATGCCTGGAAATTGGATAAATCTAGCAAGGAATATAAGACCATTGAAAGAATGATTGATATCTGCACAAGCTTCGCTAAAACTTCCAATCCTAATTGTGAGTCTACTAAGGATTTAACCTGGTTACCCTTGGCTTACAATGAGGCTAATTTAGCTTTAAATATTAGCGATGATTTAAGTTTTGAAATTATACCCGAAAAGGAGAAATTTGTTGTATGGGATTCATTGTATGAAGCAAATAAATTATTTTAGTTAATTGTCAACAAAATTAAACAAATAAATCAATTTGTAAACTATCTTATAAAGCTGTGAGTGAATTTATTAGTTGTTTTTAAATAAACTTTTGAAAAACAGCTGATATCCAACAGAGAGTGAGAAACTACCTGTATAACAAGCAAACTATTGTCCATTGAAAAGCTTGCTAGAATTGTCTGCATATTTAACATTTGCTGTTAGTTGCTTGGGCTCCGTTAAACGAAAAGGTTGTCGGCTTTAAATCATCATTGGAGGGGCTGTTTTCTTTGCGTGTGATTTTTTAAGAGAGTTCATATTTTTTTGTAGAGTGTCTTTTAATTTCGGTAAGAGTTATTTAAAATGTTATCACATGTTGCCAGAGATTTTATTATATTTAATAAAAAAATTATTTTAAATTCTTAATTATTTTATTGAGAATAAATGAAATTTAAATTACTAATAAAAACATTTTGTAATAAAAATGAATTTTCACCAAAAATAATTTTTTTTTAAAATCTAAATTTATGAAAATGAAATATGAACGGGATCTCAGCCTACATTGGCAATTAGTTAGTTAGTTAGTTAGTTAGTTAGTTAGTTAGTTAGTTAGTTAGTTAGTTAGTTAGTTAGTTAGATAGTTAGTAGTAAGTAAGTTAGTTAGTTAGTAGTTAGTTAGTAGTTAGTTAGTTAGTTAGTTAGTTAGTTAGTTAGTTAGTTAGTAGTTAGTTAGTTAGTTAGTAGTTAGTTAGTTAGTTAGTTAGTTAGTTAGTTAGTAGTTAGTTAGTTAGTTAGTTAGTTAGTTAGGTTAGTTAGTTGGTTAGTTAGTTAGTAGTTAGTTAGTTAGTTAGTTAGTTAGTGTTAGTTAGTTAGTTAGTTAGTTAGTTAGTTAGTTAGTTAGTTAGTAGTTAGTTAGTTAGTTAGTTAGTTAGTTAGTTAGTTAGTAGTTAGTTAGTTAGTTAGTTAGTTAGTTAGTTAGTTAGTAGTTAGTAGTTAGTTAGTTAGTAGTTAGTTAGTTAGTTAGTTAGTTAGTTAGTTAGTTAGTTAGTTAGTAGTTAGTTAGTTAGTTAGTTAGTTAGTTAGTTAGTTAGTTAGTTAGTTAGTTAGTTAGTTAGTTAGTTAGTTAGTTAGTTAGTTAGTTAGTTAGTTAGTTAGTTAGTTAGTTAGTTAGTTAGTTAGTTAGTTAGTTAGTTAGTTAGTTAGTTAGTTAGTAGTTAGTTAGTTAGTTAGTTAGTTAGTTAGTTAGTTAGTTAGTTAGTTAGTTAGTTAGTTAGTTAGTTAGTTAGTTAGTTAGTTAGTTAGTTAGTTAGTAGTAGTTAGTTAGTTAGTTAGTTAGTTAGTTAGTTAGTAGTTAGTTAGTTAGTTAGTTAGTTAGTTAGTTAGTAGTTAGTTAGTTAGTTAGTTAGTTAGTTAGTTAGTTAGTTAGTTAGTTAGTTAGTTAGTTAGTTAGTTAGTTAGTTAGTTAGTTAGTTAGTTAGTTAGTTAGTTAGTTAGTTAGTTAGTTAGTTAGTTAGTTAGTTAGTTAGTTAGTTAGTTAGTTAGTTAGTTAGTTAGTTAGTTAGTTAGTTAGTTAGTTAGTTAGTTAGTTAGTAGTTAGTTAGTTAGTTAGTTAGTTAGTTAGTTAGTTAGTTAGTTAGTTAGTTAGTTAGTTAGTTAGTTAGTTAGTTAGTTAGTTAGTTAGTTAGTTAGTTAGTTAGTTAGTTAGTTAGTTAGTTAGTTAGTTAGTTAGTTAGTTAGTTAGTTAGTTAGTTAGTTAGTTAGTTAGTTAGTTAGTTAGTTAGTTAGTTAGTTAGTTAGTTAGTTAGTTAGTTAGTTAGTTAGTTAGTTAGTTAGTTAGTTAGTTAGTTAGTTAGTTAGTTAGTAGTTAGTTAGTTAGTTAGTTAGTTAGTTAGTTAGTTAGTTAGTTAGTTAGTTAGTAGTTAGTTAGTTAGTTAGTTAGTTAGTTAGTTAGTTAGTTAGTTAGTTAGTTAGTTAGTTAGTTAGTTAGTTAGTTAGTTAGTTAGTTAGTTAGTTAGTTAGTTAGTTAGTTAGTTAGTTAGTTAGTTAGTTAGTTAGTAGTTAGTTAGTTAGTTAGTTAGTTAGTTAGTTATAAGGCAAATCTACAATGGGCTTAATATAGACCAAATCAGGACTCATTTCCTAAACTTTAGAAAAAGGTTCTAGATATTCCAATTTGTCACAAATTTTCTATTCTATTATAGTCCAGAAAATTTCGACACATACTCTTTATTGCATTTACAATTTCTAAATAGTGTAACAACTCTCTTGTTATCCATGATAAATATTTCATTTATGACTATTACTTCAAATAAGTAATGAATTCACAAAACTAGTTAAACATTATGAACAAAAATATTGTTTTACAACCTTCCCTATTCCTGTAGATTCGACTGTACGTTCTGTTAAATGTGGTTGAGTAAATTCACTATACACTCTCTCAAACTGAAGTCCATAGAACATTCTGCTTTATTAAGATCTATTGTAAAAGGTGACAACTTTATCAGTATTCAAATAAGAAAGAGGTCGACAATCAAAACAATGGAAACACAGTAAGTGTTATTAACTCTTTATAAAATATGCTAATATTATTTAAAATTTAACTTAACATTTTTTAACAGAGAACCCATATTAAAAATACCCCAAGGCTTGATCAAAGGTCTGAAGAGAAAAACCATATATGATCATGATTTCTATAGTTTTGAGGGTATACCTTATGCTCAACCTCCCTTGGGTGAGTTAAGATTTAAGGCTCCTGTACCGGCCGGCAATTGGACTGATGTAAGAGATTGTCGTGAGAGCGACCTTAAGCCTTTGCAGAAAAATCATCTGGGTGTAGCCGAGGGTACAGAGGATTGTTTGTATTTAAATGTTTTTGCTAAACAAGTAAGTATTTTAGAAAATATTTTCTACATATTAATGTTTTTAAAAAATATTTTTTAACAGTTACAGCCCAAAGAAAAGTTACCCGTTATGGTGTGGATTTATGGAGGTGCGTTTAATACCGGTTCTGGTATACGCACCAAATACAGTCCCGATTATTTCATGCAAAAAAATGTTATTTTAGTTACTTTCAATTATCGTTTATCTTCCTTGGGTTTTCTTAGTCTGGCAGATCCCTCCTGTGAAGTACCCGGTAATGCGGGCTTAAAGGATCAAGTAATGGCTCTAAAATGGGTTAAAGATAACATTTCCTATTTTGGTGGAGATGAACAAAATATTACCTTATTCGGCGAAAGTGCTGGTGGCGCTTCGGTCCACTTTATGGCCGTGACAGAACAAACAAAAGGTCTCTTCCACAAGGCCATTTGTATGTCAGGTTGTATATCAAATCCCTGGGCTTTTAGCGGTATTTCTACCGACTTACCCTATCGTTTGGCTTGTGAAAAGGGCTACAGTGGCGCCAATGAGGATAAATTAGTTTTGGAATATTTAAGAAAATTGCCAGCAGAGCAGTTGGTTTTAATAGATAAATTAAATTTAGAAGCTGTTGGCAGAGGAGGTTTTTATGCTTTTATACCCAGCTTAGAGCCATATGATAATGAAGGATCAGTTATTAGAAAACCTTTGGAGGACTTAATAAAATCTGGCTGGGGTAATGAAATACCCATGATGATAGGAGGCACATCGTTTGAGGGTTTAGTAAGATATTCTCAAATAAAAAAGAAACCGGTATTGGAGATATTTAATGCCAAACCAGAGCTGTATTTTCCTGCTGAAGTACAGAAAAAGTTAACAGAGGAAAAAAGAGATTTGTTGGTGGCAAAAGTAAAAGAATTACATTTTAAAGATACCAATGAAATCATGGGTTTTATGGATGTAAGTTGCTATAAAAGCTTTACATATATCAAATTTACATATATCACAAATTTTTTATTGCTTTCAGTATGATTCTTATATATCATTTTGGGAAGGCCTATATCGTTTCATCAAATCCAGACAATGCTCCTCCACTGCACCCACCTATCAATATGTCTTCGATTTTGATTCACCCACTTTTAACCATCATCGTACCATGTTTTGTAATGGCGATATCAATACTGGTGTGGCACATGCTGATGATTTATCTTATATTTTTTATGCCTACTATTCATGGAAATTGGAAAAAGATTCGAGAGAATATTTAACCATACAACGTATGATTAAAATGTGGACCAATTTTGCCAAGAATTCCAATCCAAATTGTGAATTTACTAAGGAATCACCATGGCAAACGGTTGAAGAAAGTGATGCCAAAAAATGGTTCAGAATATCCAATGATCTCAAGTTTGAAGAAATGCCAGAGGATTTTAAGAGAAAATTAGACTTTTGGGTTGGTTTGTATGATATTTAAAAATTTTGAAGCTGTAATTTTAAATGTTTGTTGAATCACCATAAAAAACGTTGTTCCTTAATAAATATAATAATGCTTAATTTAAAAGTTAATTACTTAATAATGTCTAATAACCAGCTAAACTGGAACTGAACTAGAACTGAACTAGAACTAGAACTAAACTAGAACTGAACTAGAACTGAACTAGAACTGAACTAGAACTGACCTAGAACTGAACTAGAACTGAACTAGAACTGAACTAGAACTGAACTAGAACTGAACTAGAACTGAACTAGAACTGAACTAGAACTGAACTAGAACTGAACTAAAACTGAACTAGAACTGAACTAGAACTGAACTAGAACTAAACTCGAACTGAACTAGAACTGAACTAGAACTGAACTAGAACTGAACTAGAACTGAACTAGAACTGAACTAGAACTGAACTAGAACTGAACTAGAACTGAACTAGAACTGAACTAGAACTGAACTAGAACTGAACTAGAACTGAACTAGAACTGAACTAGAACTGAACTAGAACTGAACTAGAACTGAACTAGAACTGAACTAGAACTGAACTAGAACTGAACTAGAACTGAACTTGAACTAAAACTGAACTAGAACTGAACTAGAACTGAACTAGAACTGAACTAGAACTGAACTAGAACTATACTAGAACTTAACTAGAACTGAACTAGAACTGAACTAGAAC